TCTTTAATAACAAACATAGATGCTTTCAAAAAGCAAGATTTATGCATGAAGAAATTTTTTAATATATATATGTATATATATATCTATATATATATATACACACACACACACACATATTATTTAATATATTTAATTCATATGTATTTTTTCTTTTTTTTTTTTACTCTTAGATCTCTTGGACCAAATGAATAAATTTTGCCTTGTCGACCGGTACAGGTAACAGTACGTATATCTAAATTATTATTACGAATACCCAAGTGTGTCTTCTTATCCTCTCTATCGTTTTTGACGAGATATGTACTTGGAATGCCACGAAAACTTATCCTCGTGTTAGCTCTCTTACAACTCTGAAGTCTGCTATCGGTATATATTTGCTTTAAACATTATTAAAAATTTACAGTTTCCCCGCCTATACAGTTATCGCGAAAAAATAATTATCAATTGTATGTGAAGCGCCTTAATCCTGGATATTCTCCGAGTTTTAAATATATTCTGACACTTTTCACCTACACTCTGATTAGCAGTTGACATCCTTTTCCGAATAATTCCCCGAATACGAAAGTATAGCGTTTTCATCTTGATAGGAAAATTCAAGTTTCAGCGAGATTAGTTTCCTATTTACAGAACTGTGTGCAAGCAAAGTATTGTCTGTAAGTAAGATCGTATTGTAATGTTGTGAAGATTATCAGTTAACGAGAAAAGTAAAAAGAAATAGACCGTCTGAGTAAGGAATAAGAATAAAGAATAAGTGCGTTTTCTTAATTACTCAAGAGTGGTTAAATGTTTCACAGAAAAGAAAGACATACTAACAAATTTGTTTTTTTGAGAAAAAAGTTAATGTCTTAAAAATGTTATCAAGATCTATAAGTTTTGTCGAGATGTGTCTATATCCGATATCGACAACCGTGACACGAAGAATTCAAGGATATCCGTATCGGCAGGAATGACGATTATTCTGAAATTTTGAAGTTCATTAATCAAATAAGGCCTATGAAGCAGGCGAACAATGCGGCGCAATTTCCGGGTACCGGTTCACAATGTTGACACGATAGCGATGGCTGGATGCTAACACAGGTACAGCCGTAACACAGGTTGCAATTCGAGCTTTGCAGTGTACGCAGCCGTATGTTTCTTCACCTTCAGAAGGACAAAAGACCGACAGGTAATGGCCGCTGGATCAATTTGGAAAACGGATTCGCGGGAATAACTAATTTTCTGTACCGTTGATCATGTTTTCAACGACGTCTCAAGCCACCTGTCAAGATGAAAGCGACAACTCAGCGAGAATAAGGAAGCAACGTCCTTTGAAAAAAAGTGAAGAATCGTTGGGCAGATCGTATTTGGATTGGTAGTGTTTCCTCGACGACTAAATATCTGGCAGATCGTAGTATTTCAAGAAACGACACCGACTTGGTAAGCAAAAGAAAAAACTCTCCAACGGATGAAACGATCCAACTAAACTACGAATCGGTTCCTTTTGCCTGTCAAAGGATTTTTTTGTGAAAATACTCGCGCAAGGATACACTTGATCCTAATTATAATAGAGGAAGATCCTGTGTGGAGGAACGCCGCGCGAGTTGTTACATTTCGACGAGTGGAGTTTCAGATGACAGAAAAACGCTACGAAGACATACAGAGTACGCAGAAAAGAAAGTGTAAAACAGTAGGAGAAGAGGATATGAGAAAGGAATCGACACTCGTGAATCGGCTAAGATGACTTTGGGAGCAATATCTCCCAGAAGTGGGAGATATTGCTTGTCGACGAAATCCTAAGCAACGGCGAGTCATCACGTTCCAACACATGGGTTGGGAAAGAAAATGAGAGAAACGTGAGGAGAGAGCAAGGAAAGACTCCGTCTGAACGAGTCGATGTCGTTCAAGAAACCTGTCCAATCAGGCCCGACTCTGCTTGTTTGCAGTCATTCATAACAATTCAATCGTTTTGCGTGCAACCCATTATTCAGAAGAGCTGGCAGAAGAGAATCCGGCAGAACGACGGCCTCAGGTTGCTGCAGAGCATCGATTCGGTGTTTGAGATCGCAGCGACAGGCTGGAGTTAAACGAGCTAAACAACTCGCCATTTTGTAACTCGTACACTACCCGAGATCTACCCGAGATTGACGGAGATAATGCTCGTATATGAATGTGCGACTTTGACGACTATCTACGAGGCTTGTTGCAAGCAAAAATACATTTATCGCAGTATCGTCTACCATTGGCGAAACTCGTTGCGATCGTAAAGGGCACTTAATCTATCCTTCAGATTCCCGACTAACTGCTGCCATACTAAGGGCTGGTTGTTCCACCTTTAGATAATTTTATCTGTTGGGTAAGTAGCAAGATTATTACTCAATCACATGTGTGGATTGCCAGATTTATCTAATAGGTAAAATTTATCAAAAGGTGGAACAACCGGGCCTGAGTCGGCCAGATTGAAAGACCAATTGAAGGAAGTGAATGCGAATGAGAAACGACGAGTCCGATCTCCACGTTCTTACGCTCAATTACGCCTAATGACTCCAAAGTAATATCGACGAAAATTTATTTTCGACATTTAGTGTCTGTAGAGTTAAAATTTAACGTAATTATACTTATATATTTCGATTGTGCTATATGGTTGTGTGTAGCATCGTAATCTTCGATAAGAAATGTAAAACGCATAAAAACGAATCCTTGAGTTGTCAGTTGGGATGAAAAATGTCGTTTGTACGTGCATTTCAGAGAGGAATGTAATTTCTCAATAGCCTTCCGTTTTTCTTTCGTCGTTTTACTGCAATGATATTTACCATATGACAATCTTGGAGTAATCTCGAAACATTTACTTTCAATCCAAGTCGATTGAGATAATCGCGTGGGTAAATGGGACAGCGCGATGATCCTTAAAACAAATTTAAGATCAGTCGCGTTTTAAAGTTTAATTTAATTATTGTCACTCAATAAATTATTAAATTTACAAAATAAGATTTAGAGGTGATTAGTTATCTACATTAATTCTGTCGTGAATACGTTCCTATATAATTTAACTGGAAATGTCAATCGGCTCGTTCGCGTCCTTCGTAATTTGTTACAAATTACGAATTTCACAATTTCTCACCGAGTGCAAGTGTCTTACACGCATCTTACACGCAAAGGAACGACTTGAGCAATTTTCTGGTTTCATAGTTGATGAAACTTCTCGCGATGAGGCTTCTCTGTTAGGGGTGGCGAACAGTTATTAGCGGCTTTGTCTGCGAGTTTCACCGTTCTTCGAATGAACGACCGAATGCGCGAGCGCGATGCATAACGATTGTTGGGTGAAATTTAAGGTGAATCAGGATGATCAGACGATCAGGCCGATTGAATTTTGGATGGGGAAACGCGTTACGTTATTTTTACGCTATCGGCGCCAGGGCTGGACAGGGTACCGTGAAAATACTTGGAAATACCGTGTAACTCGAATGTAAATAACTCGAAACTCTTACATAGACGATTAGCATCGTACGAGGTGATATTTTCGAAAAACACGAATCTTAAGTCTGTCCGATACGTTCGGCTGCGTGTACTCGAAACACTGTCCAGTCTTTTCGCGTTGAATTTATACATACATGATTTGACTTGTAGTGAGATAGATGAGAGTTTCGAAGGGAGAAGTAATAGAAGCATACAGTGTGAATGAGTGAGAGAGAGAGAGAGAGAGAGAGATGAGAAAGCGACTGTACCGCCGCTTTATAGCTTAATTCCTTAGATATGCGCGCCAGGCTCTCGCGGGAGCGTCTCGTTAAGTCGAACAGAAGCGGCGAGTCGGGAACAGAAAGTAGGCACCGATTATTAAAAGGGAGAATTCAGGATTTATTTTCTTACCGTACACATATTTCTGTCGCGCGTTATCAACTTTTTGCATCGCATCGCTCATAAACATTCGTTTATAACTCGCCGTATAACTCGATCGCCTAATTTCATTAGCACATTCCAGTTAGCTTTACAGGATTTTCGATCGAATCGGTTACGATCGCTTCGTCCACGTTGATGGACGCCATCCGCGCATTAAAAAGATTTCTTTTCTTTTCACGCCTGTATCGTCTGTATCGTCACCTACTTTGAGAAACATGAAGATAAACGGTTACTTGTGGGCGGTGTATCTTGAACATAAACGGAAAGCCCGATGACAAATGCGGGCAAGTCAGGGCACTCTCCGCGAAAGCTCGCGAAAGCTGACGGAAGCCCGACCGGCGACCGGCGACCGGCGACCGGCGACCGGCGACCGGCGACCGGCGACCGGCGACCGGCGACCGGCGACCGGCGACCGGCGACCGGCGACCGGCGACCGGCGACCGGCGACCGGCGACCGGCGACCGGCGACCGGCGACCGGCGACCGGCGACCGGCGACCGGCGACCGGCGACCGGCGACCGGCGACCGGCGACCGGCGACCGGCGACCGGCGACCGGCGACCGGCGACCGGCGTACTGCGTACTGCGTAGGTATCTCAATTCTCAATCGTTGGGCAGCTCGCAATCGAGTTACACCAATCGCTCATCGCGATATTGAACGTGTGTTGTTCTCCTTCTCATTGTCAGTTCTCACCAACCCACACGCATACACGATATACGTACTAGCATACGATATGCATGCATACACGCATGTTCTCCTTCCTCGATTCATGCCAATTCACGCTAATTCACGCAGTCGTTGAATCACGTTGAACGAGCCGTTGAATATCGAGGGGTACGACGTATCTCGTGACCTGCGAAAGAATCGACCGATCGACGTCGCATTCGTGAAAAACTGTGAAAAATCGGATTTTTCACATTTTTGACAGGCACTTACCTCCCTGCACAGACTAGAACAGACTGCCATTAGAGTATCATTAAGATGATAATTAACAAAATATGTACAAAGGAATGAAGCCCGCTTGTCCCAGCTCGTCTCCCGTAACCGTGTTGAGATATTCGACTTGATCATTGAGATTACTAATACTCGACAGAATGTGTCGATTCCCGCGGTTCCCCTAATCGCAATCCCCTCTCGCATATCAATAGATATATTATTGCATCGTAATTTTCGCGATTCGTAGCAATTCGTAGCGTTCCATCGATGCACAGGGACGATGGGACGGCGGAATTACCTCCTTTGCCTTTCATCCAAGAATTCCCCGTCGCGCTTCTCGTATTCTCGTATTTTCGTATTCTCGTATTCTCGTGGCCGAAGGGTGCAGATCCGATGAAAGAAAGATCGAGCGCATCCTGCATTGTGACATATCATTTATTCTCACGTAATATTATGATACATAATTAATAATTATATATTATTAGACGGCAGAAGAAGAAAATCGCTGCGCCACGTGCATAATGCATTGTACCGCGTGATCATTGTATGGAGGATAACTGTGATAACTGTATCCAGCTTCGAGAAGGAGGAAACGTTCTACTCGATTTGCGTTTGTTAATTAATTATCTTCTCCAGAACAGGGGACAGTATCGCGAGGAATTTCGTAAAGCGATGTAAAATAATTTTGTTTTGTCTACCAAGAGTTTATCGAGGGTCTCACTTGCCAGCGTAATTTTTCTCTCTTTTTCTGTTTAAGTACAGCCTTCCTTCTTTCAACTCTCTTTAAATGTTTTTACCGTCTACGAAAGATATTGAAAAAAGAATCCTGACGAAATTCCTTCTTTTTGATCGCGAAATCAAATTTCTAGTAATTCTAGTAATCTTTAATTCTAGTCCTTAAAACAAACAACAGAGTCTTTAAGAAAAAAGTGGAACGTCGAACGTGGAAAAAATTATTAAAGGTATATATTTAGGTCCATGAATTTTAAATAAATTATTTTGGATTCTCTCCGAATCCCTATTTTTTTTTCTCGTGTATCCGTCGCAGAGATTGTTTAAATTTATATAATATGTCACATTGTATACTTTACTACTTTCGAATCGAGCAGCCCGACGATTATATAATCTTTAATTCTATCATAGATCTTATAAGATCTATGGATTTTACAAAAACACACACAAACATACACAACACGTATGTAATGTGTATAGACATATATTTCTTATATGATATAATTGCGTCCATGCCGTAAAAACAAGTGAAGATAAATTTGTATGATGAAAATGCAAAAGAGAAAAATCTTTGTATCATTCGTGCGAATAAGGAATAACGAAACTGAACTCTTGGCTCGCAGTTTTTTTTTCTGCGGCATGAACGTGATATTTTTATGAAAATATGAGAAACGAGAGAGAGAGAGAGAGAGAGAGAGAGAGAGAGAGAAAGAATGGGCAAGACGTTGTACGACATGGAATATCGAGCCTGAGACTGTATAATAATTATAAATAAATGTACACATGTTAAGACCAAAGGACAGATGTCGCAATACATTTCCTTTTGATAATATTGTTTAATAGTACTCTATTCATTTTTTTATATTCTGATTCTACAATGTCTACGATTACTCTTTTATAATATTTTGTGTTTTCTCGTAATCGCTTCCTTCTCTTGCTGTAAGATTTAAATGTAAATCTTACACTTATTAACGAGAAATCTTTAATAAAAATAAGTGCTAGCCAATTGAACCAACGTTTTATTATAAACAATGATCAATCTTACAAATGCTCCGAAATAGTACCAATACATCCTAATATACAGATTTGTATAATAATGACACAGAGAGATATATGTATATATGTTTTATAGAGCAATCATAGCACAGTAATGTATTTGTCGTGTAAAATAAAAAATAGCATCGAATAACAAGAAAGAATTTCATTTAAATCTTATTTTAATTTGTCAAAAACACAGAGGAGAATTTAAATCGAATTTCAAGCAATCTTGCGATGAGATTTGCGAGGAGCAACTACGGTAATAAAATGCAATAACAAAAATTGAATATAATTATTAACCACTTTGTGCTTCAGATTCAATAACAGAAATTTAGTGCGACTTTGGAGTGACGAAAACGGGACGAGCATTATCAATGATATTTGATTGATGAATTGTACATTAAGTTTATGACTCGATTGTGATAACATTAAAATCTTCTTAACTAAGGGGATTCGCGGACTCGTCGGTCAGTGAAACTCTTTAGCTCGTACGTAGTTTGCTATCTTTCCAAAGAAAACTCGTTCAGAACTGATTTATAGAAAATGCTCTGCTTTTGAACATGCTGATTGTAGGTAAGCGATTTCATGATACAAACAGAAAATTTAATTCTAATTTATAATTGTATCTCTAAGTATAATTTTTATTAATCAACCATTACTTAATGGCACACAGTAGTAAATTATAATGTTATTTCTTGATGTGATTTTTTCCTTTAGTTTCTGTTTAATATCAATGACGTATGATATATCATAAAATCAAATAACATTACTTCAGTAGTTGCGACTATATCGTACACTAGAAGGAACTATTCTCGAGAACAATCGACAAGCTAAGCTAAATCGTGGTGCAAAGAAATACAAGCAATCTATTTTATGATACATCGATCACCGGCAGCAAAAGTTTTCTCGGAAAAGAATTCGTGTAAAAATGTATTCGCTGCATCATTTCTTGTTTGCTCACACGACTAGAATATCTCTTTCTTCTCATATGATGAGCTATCTTTATTTTTTTTATCGTTTCTAGAGAAAAAAGCTACTACACTCGATTCATGAAGCATACACGTTTCGCTCGAAAGCGATACTGTCTTCAACAAAAACTCCATTTCGTTTGTAACCCCGATCTGTACCAAGTACTGAATTCTACGTAATTGAAACACGCGGTCTTATATGCGCGTCTGCGAATCGAGGACATGATCCTTCAAACATGCAAGTTGTTTGCGTTTTAATAGAGAAACATGCCACGAAATTTATTCGGAATTGTAGATTACCTAATACAATATAGATACAAACCGCAAACTCTCACTCTAGACGCGAAGAATAGCTCAACCCAATATATGCCGCATGCTGACTTCAAAATAACATCGTCCGCTATGATGTCGCGCAGACATATTTTCACAATCGATGAATTTATATCTTCAAGATGACCGTTGATTTTGTTTATTGATGTATTATGACTAATAGGACGTCTCTAACAGAGTCTTCGCAGACGACGCTGATGCGACGACTGCATTTGTTTCAACGAGAACATGCTCATAGACAATCCAAAGGTCGCGAGGAAGATTGCAGATGTCGCCGTGCCACGATCGAAGTTCTTGGCCCTATAAAAAGCTGGACTAGCTCCCTGGAAAAAATTATCGTAAGGTAAGCTTTATGGAAGTAAAACTTCTTTTATAATTAATTCTTCTATATTTATACAGAAAAATATTTTTAAGAAAATATAATTTTATATTTAGTTAATAATACGTCTGTTGGTTATAATACAATTATATTATCTATAATTTACATATATCTTTGTTATAATTTTAACCCATAACAGGAACACATATTTTTTTATGATGCTAAAATAATATAAACATATAGGCTTTTGAGACCTATTAAAAATTTTTATTAGTTTATTTTCTTTAAGAATTTTTCAAATTTATTTACATTATTCTTATCTCTCTATGGCATCTCTCTATGGCATAAGACTATTTGGAAAACACAAATAAAATGTTATCAATAGATTTTATTGCTTCTAACTTGTTGTTAAACTTAAACACGCGTTGACCATTTTTTCATAATATGAAATGTATATGATATGTATATTATGATATGTATATTAAATCTAGGGTTACCATATGTGACTCTATATATGTATGTATGTTCCAGTTACGAGTTAATATCAATGAAATTTCAGGATTTCTCTCTCGATTTCAATTTTTCAAAAAAGAAATCATCTGGAAATAACCTACGAAAGGAAAACTTTGTTCGTTTATAAAATATAGAGGTAGGAATGGAAATTAATTGAGCGTTAATTAAAATCGATTACCGTGGGGCTGAATTCTCGAGACTTACGTTAATATGTCTTTACTATATTTTTACCTGATTCAGCGTCAATCGGAAAGCGTACAGCGCAACATGGGTCGAACGCATCTCGTTATTGCAATTTATTTGTGTATTCTGAAAGAAAAAAATTACTTATATAAGTATCTTCTCTAAGCAAATTACTCGGTGAAGAGTTTGCGATTGATTTTCAATCAATGTTCACTAAATATCTTTAAGTTACGGGTTGTATGTCGTCTCATATTTCATAGAATAATGAATGAAAACGAAATCATAGAAAACGCACCGTACTTTTTTTTTCTTGATAAGACACGTGAGAGAATATGCACTTGGCTTATTGTTAGTTTGGCTGTGCGACAATTGCGTCGAATGAAACGGACGAATGAGAAGTACATCGAGGCCACGAGAACTTTATAGACTTATAAAAGAGAAAAATCCCTTACTCGCTCTTATCACTCGCAATAATGAATTCGACGAGATTATTAACATTCTGAATCGTAAAACGTTGTTAAGTGCAATGTTTTCCATCTATAGCACAAAAATATCACGACATCGAGATGTTTACATCAGGAGCGCCATGATTAATGACATGATAAAAACATAAAAAAGATATGTGTTAAAATCTGTATGATTTTAATAATCTTTTTAATATTAATTTATATTATAAGGTTCCATAACTAAGATTAATCTCTTTCAAATTATGCATGTTTCACAGATGAACACTATTCAAGTATACGCCCTCGATTTCTAAATGATAGATAAAATAAAAATCGAAGACTTTTTTTTTAACTACTTGGAAGAATTTATCAAGATTCTAGCATAGAGTTAACGATATTAGTTTAATTTAATTTTTCAAATACTTGAAAAGCAAATATAGGACTGCAAAAAGTTAAGGATTAACGCCGCCAAAGCACACGAACATTGGCATTTTTTGTACAATAATTTACGTATAAAAATCGACAAATATTTCTCGACAAAAAAGTATAAAGAATAGTTTGTCAGATAGTGAAATAATTCAGAGTCAACCGAATTATGAAGAAAAGAGGGTATTTACTTAAACATTAGTAAAGAAGAAGAATGTTTCCTTGCTGGTCTGATATCACAAGATATCAGACATGACGAGCTACATAGCGAGGAAAATAATGCGAATCAATCAAGTCAGCCCTATATACTCTTTAACGTTATGCGTCATTGAGTTATCGCGAGTGACGCGAAGATGCGACGAAGACTCGTTTGCAGCGGATATTTCCGATAAATACATTCTGACGCGCTATTCACAATTATCTGGAGTTGCCACAACCGCGGGCGAATCGCGTACTTCTCTTGTACCAATCTTATTCAATGTTGCTTGGCGAAAGGGATCGTTATTAATTCGTAAGAGCAAAAAAACGAATGGGTGCATGATTCGAAAGATTAGCTCCTTCGTGAACACCGTTATCAATAAGTAGCTGTCCAACACTGTCAAACACTGATATGACCTAAATCGTTACACAAGTACGAACAGAGGATTAAAGATGTATGTATGTTCGCCTGTGTTCGCGAAAACTTTGAAATAAATTGATTAAGTAAAAAAATAATAGACTATCTATCTAGACAACGAAAATTACATACATATAAAAGTTTCATTATACATATGTCTAATTAAATTATTACGTTATAAATTTCATTAGACAATTGTTGATTATATAATAATTAAATCACATAACAACTTTGGTTATATAACCAATAAGTTAAACAAAACTGCTATTGTATATGCACTATTATAAATAAATTAAATAAGTGAGAAAGCTCACCAAACATTGTCAAAGCTGGACATTGTGGTGCCTTAATAATGGTATATACGATTCTTGATATTATAAGTGCTTTGAAGCATTTTCTGATTGATGTAATTGTTTCTTTCTTTCGATTTTGGTCGATCAAAATGATTTGAAGCATTTGTTTAGCCGCACTCACTATTTCTACATAAATTTTAAATATATTGTTTCAGTTATATAAGCTGCATGCCACTTATTTATTTACTGCCAAGACAATATAATGCAACATAATATAATAATAAACTGAAATAATAATCTCACAAAATTTAAATTGAACAATTTGATAATAACGCTACTAGCCTGTCTTGAAATACTGTAAAAAAAAAAAACTCATTCCGAAAAATATTACCTTAGTTAGGATTTAATAAATCTGGAACTTCTCGATTATCCATATATAGATGTCTTCTTTGCAAGTCGAACAGTAATGGGCGCAGTTTACATAACTGAAAGATGTATTTAAAATTTACACAAAAAATATTATTAGATGCCAATGTCTACCCTCGACTATGTTTGACGCTTTCTTATCTAGTTAATTTATTTATACATATTTATATTATTAATCACATATATATATATATATATAATGAAATTCAATTCGAAACCGACAGACTCGAATCGAATTAAATCACTCAACGTTTATTCTGCACGAGAGAGGGTTAACCTCTTCGTCGATCGTTACGCAATAATTTTCGCCTAAAACAAAATTATTTATGAACTGATGATGAACTGATGATTACGTAACTGAGCCAACGAACGACTACATTCAATTTCATCCTCGCAGCGCTTTCGTCCTTGTTTTACATCTATGAATAATAAAGAGAGAATGATGATTATAAGCCGTTAAAAAGCGTCAGGGTTCACCTTGAAACGGAAATGATCTCTGTTCTTATCATTCGCGAGGCGAGATACATGCGGAGCAAGCAGAATCAGCTGAGAGTCAGAGTCTGTCAGAGATCTGCACGATTTACGACGAGATTCCGCGGTCCGCGAGTGACGGGATAAATACAACGAGCTTACCCCAAGTCCAGAATCTCTTCGAATCACACGCACGACGCGCTTCAGAGATTTCGGTGGATGGATTTAAGGACTTCAGGCACCGGTCGCGTATCTCCTAAGTCAAACCTTCACGGAATCCTCTCAATATTACGGGAAATATTACTTAAAGATATTAAAGACTTGAATTCTACGAACATCAGTAATCCAATTAAATATGAATCCTCGACTTCTCACTCAGAATCGTTCGATATTGAAGTATTAACGAAGGAAAAATAATTGTCCTATCCTCCGGACGATCTTCTTAGGTTCAGTCGAAAAATGTATGATCCGTATACCGGAAAGCTCACGCAAGGCGAATCTAACCTCTAAACCGCTCCAAACCGATCTTCCGTGATTCATTGATTTACTCGAAGGAGATTCCTGACGCGACGATGGCGGAAGTTTGTCGTTCGTAAAGGAAAAGGAAAGGAGAGTTACGAGAGCCAAATCTCGTCAAATCTTACCAAATCTTGCGGAAGGAGATCACGCCGGGCCTCGAGATTTATGCGTGACCTAACCTATACATCCGCGGCTTCACCGCATGTTGCCGCACCTCGACGCCTCTCACGAAATCTATGGACATCTACGATGAATTGTTCTCGCAGTCGCGCGAGACTATCAGCCGAAAATTTTATCATCGAACCCTTTACATTGTCTATCGTTTTCTTTCATTACGTCTCGAACGTCGAGATAACTAACTTCGTACCATCGAAAAGCATGTATGGACGAACGAGGCAGAAACGTGAGAACAATTTCAGATCCTTTCCTCCGTCTTTTTCTCTCCTCGTAAAAAAAATGTTTCCTTTAAAAGGGTGTTTTTTTTTTTTACAAGAAAAGTTTTTTTCGATTCGTTGCATAACACACGATTACGTGATTTGACGTTTATATTTATAGGAAAAACAATTCTCTCTCATGGTCAACTGCGAAAAATTTTATTAACCTTCTGATGCATGGGATCTACACCAGCCTCTTTGTTTAAGAAACAAATAGTTGTAATAATTAGAGTCAGGCAGACGTTTTGTAAGTTTTTTAAAATCTCAATCGCGCCTGAAGCGCGAAACTTGGTTGCTTCTATCTTACAATATTGTTTATTATTACAAGAATTAGATGATGCGGAAATGTATCTCACTGTCGCTACCTGACGTTCGTCGATGTAGCACGCGTGGAGAGAAAATTATAAAAACGTTGGAAATTTAACGATACGTCGGCGGAATTAAATTCCAGACGTCGAAATGCGGAGTAGAACAGATTACTTACCCGCCTGTATCGAAACCAGCTGATAAAAGAGATCAGAAAACACACGCCCCGTCGCCGAATTCACCGAATTGACGACTTGACGAACGCACGGCACGCGGACCATGAACTAAATATTGTTTAGAGGGAATGCAAAGTCACAGTACTCGCGGCATAAAGCCGGGAACACATACAAGAACGTAAGACGTATCAGACCGTAACACGTAAGCAGTAAGCAAATTAGCCAATCATAGTAGAGACGGTAATGCCAGTAACGAATCCAATGTTAGGATTTCCTTACTGATTACGCCTTACGGTCATACATTTTTTTATATGCTCCTGGCTTAAAGCCCATGATACAGAATGCATCCTGAACGGCAACCGCTCACTGAGCGCTCAATGAGCGCTTTTATCTGATTGGCATATTCCATTAGATCCTAAAATATAGACCAATCAAATGAAAGAGCTCACTGAGCGCTTATTCTGAAACTCAGTCCCTGCGCACAACGGAGGAAATATTAGGAATAGAAATAAATTTTAAGATTTCAACCTATCAGAAACCGTGTATTCCGATATGTAACTTATTTATATTCTGGTATCTGATAGGTGAAATCTTAATATTTGTTTCTGTTCCTAATATTTGTTTTATTGTGCGCAGACCCTCAGAGACTCGCTAAATTCGAAAGAGAAAGAAGAAAAGAAGATATATTCAATGGGGAGTAATTGAAAATTTTCTTTAATTCACATGTCTGACTTTATTGACTACAAAATTTGGATTAATCTGAAAATAGGAAAAGTTCCAGGGTTATGAATATATATATATATTCCAGTTTTCCTATTAATACATATACGTATATGTATACCTACACATTATTCCATTAACATGTATAATTATTAATTTTTTATTTGAATGCTCTATTTATTGCGTTTTTACTGGTTGAATTAATCATTGACCTTAGAAGATACCTTGGAAATGTGCATCTATGTATTGGTTTGTATCTGAATGATCCTCTATACAAGTATGAAGATATTTGAATTTAAGCTTAAATAAAGAATATGAATTTTAGATTTTTGTAGCAGAATTTGTTGTATTTCTTATCCTTCTTCCCTCTCTTTTACTTCAGTAGCTGTAATAATTATATACTTATTTTAGTACAAGTGTAGAGAGATAACAGCGATAAAAAACTACTTCTATAGCTATGACATGGACGGAGTAACCAGATATGGGTATTTCCATATTGTGATATCACAACATGAAAAAATATCATCCTATTGCTAAAAAAAAAGTGATTACTCACTAATTTATTCTTTTTCTTTTCAGTGACGGTTACTTAAAATACAATTTAAAGAATGTTTTCTTGGTAATAGGTTTAAAATATATTTGATACAAAATTTTAGAAAAACTCATCATCATGTACTAAAAACAAGAATATTTATCTCTTCTTTTGAAGAATATTGTAAAATTTTAGAAGAAACTTGACATATATATATACTAAGCAAATCAAATTTGTTTTAATTTAATAATTTTGATTGAAAAAAATATTAAACTTGTTAGGATTCAGAATATAAACATTTTGAATAGATGCTTGTGACGCTTACGATAGATTTAATTAAGAATAATCTAACTTTTGTGTGAAACAATTAAATAATAACTATTTAAATATAATATGTATTCAATTCTCGCGTACGGGATCTCATTCTACTCCTCAACTGGCCTGCGATTTCTGAACACGTGATATTCATATATTGTCGCAGTAGCCTAACAAGTAATCGCATAAGTTTGCGCACGACGTATAGTCTTTTGGGTTCGAAAAATTCTTGAAAGTTTCTACGAAACCGCATATCTGATTACTTAAATATTTCATACTTAAAATATCGGATATTGGATACGATATATAGACTTCCTTTCTTCTTAGATAAGGAGCTCAGCGTCAGATTTCTTTGTCCTATCAGAAAGAGACTTATCTGAATTTTCAAGCACTGTGACAATTTAGATTATCTGGAACTGATTCGTAGGCGCGCGCATACGCGAGAGAGAGAGAGAGAGAGAGAGAGAGAGAGAGAGAGAGAGAGGCACCATCGGGAGGACACAATAAGACAGGTCTGTTTATCGCAGATCTAACCCGGCCCGGAGCTGGCCGAGCACCTCTCTCCGAGTCCCCGCTACAGCAGTCTGACGATTTCGCCGCTCTGATAGGTGACGTATAATACCCGTCGGCGGTGGCGGTGGCGGTGGCGGCGACTATCTGCCGACCGTTCGTCGTTCGTGCTCGTTCCTGGTCGGTCAGTACGCGCAGTCGACACGGTGTGTCTGGTCCGGGGTTGCTTGCACATGAGCGTATGCAAATCTCCACCATTCGCTCTCCGTCTCTCTCCGTCTCACGTCGTCTCTCTTCGTCTCTCTTCTTCACGGCGGGACAGATTGGCTCCGCGGAGGATGACCGACTCCGAAATCGAGATGCATTACACCCCACCGACGTCGGATACCATCCAGACGAAACCGTTCCCGATTCGAGGTAATATTTTCAGGGTCTTTTCTCTCTCTCTCTCTCTCTCTCTCTCTCAGTGCGCAGCGCTATACCTCTTTCTCCTTCCCCCTTCGCCGCACGCACTCGTAACTCTCGTAAGATCAAACACGTGCGAGGAACGTGAGCTCGCGATTGCGTTTCGGAGCAAGTTCAAGGTCTCCGATCTCGCGGTCAATGTACCGGGTGTCGTCTCCCCTGTAATAATGCGATCATCGCACCGGTTTTGCTATCTCCGTATCCGCGCGAGATACGATCGAGTCTCGCCAGCTCGTCAGATCTCGTCGCCGGAAAGCGCAGGAGCGGGAAAACTTGTACCTTCGACTCACGTCGCAACTCCTACAAGCGCGATTTTTCCTTCGATATTTAACAATCACGTATATTTTTGCAGAAACGACAAGACAATCGTACGTGTTTACGCTTAGTATCTCCTTCTCCCTCTCCCTCTCTCACTCTCCGATGGTCCAAAACGACTAAATCTAATCAGAGGGACGCGAACCTCTTTAATTAAATGATCGCTCTCGTCTAAACATCTTAATTGCGCGTCGTTTTATTGCGTCCTTTCAATTATTACACAATTCTTTTCTCACCGACATGTCTATTAGCATACATTTAGTTTTTATTTTAACAGGAAAAAAGTTGTGAGATAACAAAAGAAAGAACTAAATATTTATCTCTTCCCAGATAGCGCGTGGAACATTTCAGCAATATTATAATAACGTTATAACGTTGTTCTTAGTCACTGTCCTCCCGGAGAAACATTTCGACAAGCAGAATGTACTTGATGTGTGCATATCGCGCTGAGACTGCTAGATAAATTATCACTTTTTGCTCCACTAACAACCTTGAGCAGTGTTCGAGGAACGTTTTGCGAATAAGCCAAAAACAAAAAAAATCTCTCTTACAATATCCGAGTTTGCTGACGGAATTAGCTATGTTTCATTTCCTTCGTGTGCGAGGATAAACAATTTGATACGGTGATATATGCATATTATCGCCTTTCAAGGAAGCAAATTCATTGATAAATTACTCCTCAGATAATGCGTTAAATATATCCGAGGAGGAAGAATAAACATCCTTAAAAAAAAAAAAAAAAAAAAGACTTTCAATTTTGTCATCTTTTTATGTAAATACATGACTTGTTTACATCTATTACTGTGGCTGTATGCTTTTAATCCTTAAACAAAATCCATAGGTATATTATTCGCATATAAAAAACGATTTATTTATGTAATTTCAATCTTGAGCCGATAAAACTGACTATGTGACTATATTAAAATTATTATTTTAACGTTATTTTAACATTACTTTTATTAAAGGTATGCGAAGCGAAGACTCTCTCTCTCTCTCTCTCTCTCTCTCTCTCTCTCTCTCTCTCTCTCTCTCCAAACTATAAACCCTTTGTCGACGGACGATTAACAACGGTATGTGATTGGAATAATTGTAGGAATTAAAAAAAAATAGTCAAAAGTATTTCGGACGAGTTCCAAAGTATCTTATCTCATTTTTCAAGTACAACGTATCTCTATGTTAAATTATATCGATATTCCTGATATTCGAGATTCATAATTAGAAAATTAGTAAAACTATCGTTATGGTGTGTATTATACGGTCTGATCATCACGCCAAGAGGTGCCAGATTTCAATGGAAAAATAGTTTTCCAAGTGTCTCGCATTGGTGATATATGATTAGACCTAGTTTCGTAAGAGAGTTAAAAAATATGTATGTATATATACATAGATAACAAGAATCAAATTATGTAACTGCAATTTTTTTTATACGAAATTACAAATGATAGTATCAATTGTCGAACGGACATCTGTTGCATTAATAGAAGCGCGAAATTTAATAACGGATCTCGATACTACAATATTGAACCGGATTTTGGGTTATCGTATTGATATTGAAATTAATACAATCTATCAATCCAGTCTAAA